TCATGACAATATTCATCCACTTGTCGAGTTCTGATTATTACGTTGATTTCTTCAATTTCAGAGTGGTAATATCGACGCGAGCCGGTCGACCGAAACAAGGAGAGCACCGCAACCTTTTTTTTGAGTGAGAGTGTGGTGAGATTGAGTTTGAGTGGTGAGATATTGTGTGAGTGTTTGTGTGTTTTTTGAGTAAATTTTGAGTGAGTTTGTGTAATTAGTGTGTTGTGTGGATAAAAAGTATTTTTATTGAGTGAAGTGTGATTTTTATTAGTGTGTTTTTTAATTAGTGTTGTTGTGAGAGTGTGTGTGATTTTTAATTGAGTGTTGTGTGATTTTTTTATATTGTTGAAAAAAAATTTAAAAAATATAAAAATGCAAGGCCGTTTTGGCTTAAAAAGAAAACACGAGGCCGAGACCGACCCGGGACTGGCACCCTTCGGGGGGTTTTTGCGGGCCAGAGGGGTTGAAGGCGTGCTTTGCGCCAGCCTATTGCAGGTGCTGGCGATATTCATGGTGATACCGGCACCAAGCCGGTTATATGAGTACTTGAAGGACCAATGGGCCCATATGGGCCAAAAACGAATAACACAAATGTGTAAGTCTTAAATTGTCAATTATTATCACTGTCCTAACCCTTTTATCATTCTTGCTGATAAGATGACCTGAATAACACTTGAACATTATTTAAGATGCATTCACAACACTTAAGATGCATATGCTCATTTGAGCAAATAATGAGTGCGACTTGAGTTTCGGTAGTCTGGCAATCGCTTAGGAATCATATATTTAAAGAAACAATTGACCATCTTCTCATTGTCCTGGATGCTGCTCTTCATCGGATAATTTTTGATTATTTTAGTCAATAACGCAACACTGGATCGCGACGACGACGACTTACTTGAAGCGCTGTGCCAGATGCGCGGCATAATGCTCCTGGTGCACCCACTTAATACGGGTGCACCGATCAAAATATACGGACAAAGCCGCCTGGTATTTGAGGCGGCGCAACACAACGGAGCTTATGCCGCGCTACTAACGTCAGCTGTAAGTATTCAAGATATTACTTCTTAAATAGCTCACGATTATTCTTAGGCTTAGGAATCAGGACAAATGTCTCAACAAGTATGAGAATGACGATACGAAATGAATCTAATGACAGTTACAGTAGTAATCGTAAGATTCGTGATAATAATTGTAACAATCATCTTCAGAATACTGGAACTAACCCGTCGTCGCCGAAACGACAGAAAATAACAACTGACATCATTAACGTAAGTAAATCAAAAAAACTTTTCAGTAATAATCTATGAAATACCTTTTGAATTATAATCACAAAACTTCATATGAGTCAACTGATTGAAACAAAATTTATGATCATATTACTGGCGATAATTCCAAATATTTTCAGCCATCGAACTTACCTGGACCATCTAACATGCCACTAATGAAACATCTAAAACCAACTAACGCAGTACCAATGATAGTAACATTACGCGTAAGTGAATAATTAAAAATCCTTGTATCTTACTTTTTTTATATTCTTTCTACAAAAATCTCTGAAGATCGCAGTCTGAAAATATTTTGTGCGATAATAATGATAATAATATTTCCAATAATAATCAGGCAACACGAAATATTCTAAAAATATGTTTCAACAAATATCCGTTTCAATGAACATTTGATTGGTTGTAATAACTCGTGATTTGAGTCGAGCGATCAACATAAAATTAGTTCGCGCCGAAGTCCTCGTATCAATCGTATTTATTTTCAGACACCACGAAATGACAATGACTCACCAGCAACAACCTCACGTCCGGACCTAACACCTGACGCAACTAACCCATTCCTCAACTCAACAATTGACGTCTCCTCACCTCCCTCACCAGCCTCAACAATAACAACTGACACAACAACTCACACCACCACTGACTGTACTTACAATCTGTGAGTTTTTTCCTCTTCTTCTGAATTTACAATTGAGCTATTTTATTTGAAAAAATTTCTTCTGCCAAACAGTGTTGTTTTTTAAGATATGATTTGAAATTCAGTTTATCGAAGTTTGGGTTTGATGGGTTTTGAAAGAAACAGAATTATTTATAATTTGATTGGCTCATTTCAGAAGACACCCGCGACGTGAGGCTAACCGTCTAACAACCCGACCACGTCCGCAGGAGTTCCAGCCAACTAACATCGCCTTACTTAACCCTGGACTCCTGGCCGAGCTGGCGAAACCACTAACAACGCCTTACTCAATTCATAACAATAAAGTTTGTAAGTATTACGACCAAAATATATTTGATTTTAATTATTAGTCGATTTTAAAATATTTATAATAGCGCTATTTCTAATCAGAAAAGGATACTGAGAACATCATTCGGATTGTGCAAGTGAAAGTTTTTGCACAATCCATATTTATGTCAATCATCTGCGACTGATTGAAAACACATAAGAAACTAAAGGATTGAGGCTCTATAGCCATTAATCATAACTTTAAGATATATTCTCTCTTATAATTAATTAACTTCAGACTGCCAGCTCGAAGGCTGTACCAGGCGCGCCACACCATTCGCTACCGTGGCCGCCTGGAAAATCCACGTGCGGAGGGCCTCATGCCACCAGACTAACAGTAAGTGACTACTTATTTTTTAACATCTTCAATTTTATTTCTAATTATCTTCCATACAATTTATTTTCATCCAGTTCACTTTCAAATGATTTTCAGCAGTTATTTAATGCTCAATGAAATGACTTAACAAACACTAATGATTGGAAGATTGTTTCTTGAATTGTATGAGAATAAGCTTATGAGAAATCGCCTAGTATTCTAGAGAGAAAGCCTCTGATCTTATTGAATCTGTGATCTGATTCTCATTGAACAAGTGAATACAACATTGAATTGACTTGCAGACCTCTGCACGTGGTGCGGACATCGCGTGCTCGTGCCGTCGGACCTCTCGGCACACCAACTAACACTTCGTATGGATACTCACCGTGCCGAGAGGTGTCCAGCCGCCCCCAAAAAGATCGTGGGGGCACGTCATAACACCATCGAACGGCTCCGGGAGCTCGGCCGCGACTGCTCCCACATAGCGGTCCCCGGAGCCGCAACGGCCGACACGCGGGTCGGGAAACGCCGTAACTCCATCTAACCAACAACTGACCGGCGCTAACAACCAACTGACCTGGACAACTCACCACAACAATTCACCATTAACTACCAAAACAATAACTTCAACATCGTCAGGACAGCGGTAACAAAATGTAAGACAAAACTCATTAAAATAATGTTTCGTTTATGTAATGGTCACATGAGTTAATTGAATGAAGACAGAATAATTTATGGGGAAACGAGCACTTATGAGTATGAGTGGATGAATAAGTATGATAACGGATAACAACATACGATAATGGTAAAACAATTCTTAATATTAATCTATTTCAGGCTATTACTAATTTCCAACATCGCACAGCGGTTCACCACTAACGACAGGTCAACTCACATGAAAAATCAATCTTCACAATATCAGCAATTAACAAATTCGCAACAACGATTATTAACCTCAACAAAAAGGTAACGTTTCAGTTTTCAAACAGTTATTGCTGTTATCATCAGCTTTATAGCTGATAATATTATTATTACAATCGCTCTCACTGATCTCATTAGCATTTTCAGAATCAAAACATAGTAACGATGGATAACATAAACGACGGATAACATCAACAACAGTAACGAAGGCAGTGGGTTATATCAACATATCAACGTATTGTTGTACTGCACATCCCACCAGAAGCATAAGTTTGATTTGATTTGAATTCGTAGATGTTACATCAAAGCAGCAGTTGAGAGATTAGATGAGTAAGGAATAAGATGCGCAAAAAATCAGTCTTGATAATTCTTGTGGATATTAGCGATAAAAAGCATTAATTTTAGAATATGAGCGAGCTTACGTTAGATTTTTGATTCGTTGTTACTTTTTAATTATTGTTATTTTTTAAATTTTTTATGTCGCCATTTTGATGATGTTGTTTGTTACTTTTATTTTTCTTTCGGTTGAATCATTTCATTGTTTTTTGCATTCTCTATATTCGATTGAAAAACATGCTTATCGCATGTTTATAAACACGTATTAGCATCGCACGCTAAGCTTTTGTAATTATCATCCTCCCTTATTACCTCATGAGGCTATCCATTATCTGCCTATCTCAAGAGATATTGTTGGAGTCTTGCCTATTTCGAGAGATATTTTTCAAGTCCAAGAGATATTTTTTAAAATCATATGCGACTCTGAGCTTTCATACCGCTTGCTTTCAATAATTCATTGCGCACCAAAATGTCCCATGAGAATAATTTTATCAATGAGAAGTATTCAATCAGTCAATATCATCTGACCATATCACTTTCTTATGAGAAAATCACCCCTTACCTTTGCGTTAACGTGGACATGCGTTACATATTGCAATGATTGAAACGTTCCTGCGCAGAGGAAAATTTTGCCATGTCAGGCTATGAGTTCAGCTGCGCTATTATATAACTAAGTACAGCAGTGAACGCAATGAATGACCAAAATGCCCACCAAAATCCTTAAAGAGAATATTTTGGGCTTTCTTTCATTGATGAATGGGAGTCATAGGGCGGAAATGCCAGCTCCCAAGC